GTGAGTGTGTGTGTGTATGTTTGTGTGTGTTGTGTTTGTGTGCGTGCACGAGTGTGTGTGTTTGTGTGCGTGCTCGAGTGTGTGTGTGTGTGTGTGTGTGTTTGTGTGTGTTGTGATTGTGTGCGTGCACTAGTTTGTGTGTGTGTGTGTATGTTTGTGTGTGTTGTGATTTTGTGCGTGCACTAGTGTGTGTGTGTGTATGTGTGTATGTTTGTGTGTGTTGTGATTGTGTGCGTGCACGAGTGTGTGTGTGTGTGTATATGTGTGTATGTGTGTGTGTGTGTGTGTGTATTTGATTTTACCTGTTGTATTGGCAAAAATCACATATCATAAAGTAGTTGGTGGTTTTAGGTGTGCGTAACAAGCCTGACCTGTCAGTCAGTGATATGTAGGGCCAGTGACGTAGTGTTCTATGACGTAGTGCTGAGTTGCCAGTTTAGATGCTTACCGGTAGGTCATCAATAGTAGTATCTGGTGACAGCAGCGATTAGGAATAATTAGTTAGCCTGCTTGCTTTATAATCAGTCGAGACCCAAGTTAGTAAACACATACACTAGTTAGCTCCGTTGTAGATTGTATATAGTTCCCAGAATATTGTACTAGGCCATTATGCGATATCTCGACCCGCTACTCTGTAGTAGCCAAGCACAATACAACAACCAGTACAATCGTGAACTGTGTCTTCTATCTCTCTCGAGTGGTATCGTTATTTAAGCAAATAAGATCGACGTAGACACGAAAGTACATCCGAAAGGTTGCATGTGCACGCGCACCTTACATGGCGATGTCAACCCTGCAGCTGCGTTTAGGCGTTTGGAGATGTCCACGGCCAGTTTCGGCAGTCAAATGTACGTCGTCTTCAACAGCAACCCTATGACTGAGCAGAGATCAGATTTCAACCTCACCTTCACTACAAGGGACCAAAGTGAGTACAACTCATCAACAGGGTTGACCAGTAATAATTATCTATGACTAGTTGGGTAACACTGGGTGTTGTAATAAATACATACATAAATACATAAATCAATTCAACATCATCATGATGAAACAATTTTAAATTGTTCTCCAATTAGAAAAATATCGACTCAGTCCTCTTTAGCTATCTGACCCAGTTGCTCATGCTCTGACACGAGGCTTTACGCACGAACTGTGTCAAACTTTGTTGGAAGTAGATACCCCCCCCCCCAATGACCATCATCTGTCCCTCAGTCTGGTTGACCTTCAGACCGTCACAGATGTCCGTATAGACCAGCGTTTATCGAGTAAAGAGACTCTTTTTACACAAACAAGTATTTGGCCATGTTCAAATGAAGTCAGTTAAGGCGCTTTACATGTGGTTTCCCCCGAAGTCGGTTTCAAGTGGCCCCATCTGAACGCTCCAAATCACATTGAGAGCGCCTCGATACCAAACCACTTCTAGAGGTGGTTTCGAATCGGTTTTTCCGCATCGCGATTTGCGTCTGAACGCAATGTGATTTCAATGTGACTTCACCTGGTCATGGATTACGGGGTGATATTTCCTTTATTTATATTCAATACCAAATTTTACTTGGCAGCAACTTAAAGAGCAGTAATGGTCAAATAATGTGTCTGTCGAGCTTCACCGCCTCTGGCGGGACCACGTCTGCATTCTGCCGAGATACGCTGGGAGGGGGGTACCAGCAAGCAGGTCGTTGACCTCTGACATTAATAACACGCTACCTTGCGTGTTTTCATCAAACAACTGTTTGATTAATGCAGTTTCGGAGAATCGTGCTCGGGCACAGTTTGAAAGGAATGTATGGCACTTAGACCAGGTGTGAGGAATGCGAGTTACCCGAATCGCGGTTCGGGTGGTTTCATATGAACAAAGCCTTTTATTCAGCCGACGTTTCGGTGACCGTCTGTCAACTTCCTCAGGGCAATTCTGACTGGTTCACATTGCATTGCAGCACAGTGGTCGCTGCTACAGATGCATTCCCAAATATACAACATTTACATATCTACACATATGCGTGATTGGATTACAGGGAACTGTATCTACAATGCGTTCCCAAACGTCTGGAAGTTGGATACATACATAATGGTGATCAGTTATTTAACAGTTACAGAAAACTAAGAACAGAATCCACAAAGCAGAACCAGTCAGAATTGCCCTGAGTTAGGTGACAGACGGTCGGCTGAATAAAAGACTTGGTTGTGTAAAAAGAGTCTCTTTACTCAGTGCCTTACCAACCTGATGAAACTATTCATGGAGTAGCGTTTATCCTTATCTCATAGCTGATGGTTTCTTGGTCAGATCGGACGTTATTAGCGTGTGGTTCAAGATGGCGATTGAAACAAGGCTGCGGAAGCAAATAAGCGGCAAAAATTATGCAAATTACGTGGCACAGCCAACGGGCATGTTTAAATTCTTACGGTGACTTTTTATGCCAGAAATGAATAAAGAAAAATAGTGTAACAATGACAGCAACTTTTGAATATTCAGTAACATCTGTCTCTATCCCCTCTTCATGGACCCAGACGATGTACCAGAGTTCAATGAAGAAACTTTCGTCCCACAAACGGCACCAACTTTTAACCAGACCACAGTAGAGGTAAGTGGACTTGTCGAAAACTCGCAACGTGTACCCTTTCTGTGATGGTAAATTGTTTAGCTCTTTGATAAAAATCACTTTTAATCTCAATCCGGTTTCAGGAGTTCGTGAAACTGGACCTTTACTTCAGTTTGGCAGAATGGGTTCGCTTTCGATTCTGCTACAGCTACAGCAGATCCGGTGGTAAGTATATTATACGTAGCAGTCATATGTTAACTTGTGACCCTGAGGTGGTATTTCTTGCCAATTTTCTCCATTTCACTTTACTTCTTATTCCCAGTGTAGCCTTCAGAAAAACTTAATAACTATTTGGGAAATTGAGAAAGATAGACAAAGAGATAGAGAGACGAATAGAGAAATACGCCATGTATATGTGCAAAGGGGTGCAGTCTGTTGTCTGAGCCCCTACTTGTCCCTGTGTCGCCACGCAGATTTCCTACAGGTGTACGCCGCCATCCAGGACTACACCTTACCGACTTCTAACGTGGAGTCAGACATCCCCTATAGCTGTACTTATTTATTCGAACGGAGTATGCTGCTCTCGGACAGCTGATAGTACCGGGTGGACAGGTCAGCCTCTCAATTATTACCTTTACCAAGAAGGCCAAGGCATGCGTGTCAATGTATATCTGTCTGACGTGTTTACGTGTGTGTGCGTGCGTACGTGTGAGTGCGTATGCGTACGTGTGTGTGTGCGTGCGTGCGTGGTTGTGCGATTATATGTGTGTGTGTGTGTGCGAGTGTGTGTGTGTGTGTGTGTGTGCGAGTGTGTGTGTGTGTGTGTGTGTGTGTGTGTGTGTGTGTGGTGTGTGTCGATAATATCTTGATGGATCGTCATGCATGATATTTAGTTTTGAATAGATAGAAGCGAAACAAGAAAAAGTTATACGTGAAATGCTACACATGTAATCTACTGTGTGTACCTGTGCAGATACTGGTCCCCGTATGACTGGCCATGGTTCCCGTTTAAAACTTACAGTGAGCTGACTTTTCTAAGAACCGACCTTGTCATGATTTACAGTTTTCCTGGCGTGGAGGTAAGAAAACTGTGTTCTGGAGAAACCCTACTAGTTTGCATAGAATTAGAAGCACATAGTATATAACATTTCCAATATCGAATTGCGTTACTTTTTACTTACTATTAAGTTTATATGATTAGGGATAAATACACTCCGGACGTGATCTTTCAGGTATTATTGACATATCAAAACCTTTTTGATGGTAGGCTACTGGTAGGAAACTTTTTACACTGTTTACTTGTACAACAGTGGATGTGAGAAAGTCTGCATTGTATACAGAACGAAAATCTGGATTTACCAATGGTAGTAGATACCAAAGTCGGGTATAATATTTACAATATAAACAGTATTTGACTTTACAACGGTAGAAAATATAAGTTAAGGAGGGTGATTTAGGACCTACCAAGCGTTGACGTTGTACTAGGGTATATTGGGGTGAAAGAAACACATAAATGCACATAAATGCGCAAGCACACAAACATGTATACGCACACAAACACATACAAACACATACGCACGCACGCACGCACGCACACACACACACACACATACATACACACACACACACACATACATACACAAACACACATGTATACGCACACAAGCACACACGCACACACACACACACATATACAAAGACACACACACACACACACACACACACACACACACACACACACACACACACACACACACACACACACACACACACACACACACACACACACACACACACACACACATGCACACACATAAAGATAAGACAGGCAATCCCAAAACACTTTTTCTCTTGACTAATTAACTTCTCCCCTGTATTTTTTTTTTAAATTTTTCCCACAGGTTGGAGAGGAGAACTCTGATCAGAATACCATTGAATGTCAGTTTCCTCTTGGAAAGTTGACGGCAAAACTCCAAGTAAAAGGTAAGAGTTGTCCTAGGGGTGGGGGGGATTGGTGGGCTCGTCAAGGATGGAAGGCTATGACTTTTTGGCAAAAATAATATTTGACTTTCTATGAATCTCAAAGTAATCATTCAATTATAGCCAAGATTTTCACAGCTTTCTTATGGTAAATATTTCTTGTTTAAAGTTAAAACGTTTGGTCCAACACAAAAACAATTCTCTCACCTAGAGCTTTCGACCAGTAACTGGTAGACTGACCCAGTGAGACTTGTCACGTGGCTTCTTAAAAGTGTGACGTCAACACTGGGTCAAAGGTATCTGGTAGACGATGTCAGCCCCCGCCCCGGTTCAATGAAGGGTGATGGGCCCTGATGTATATGGCTTCCTTCACCCCTCTCAAGAAATAGTCTTGTTCAGTGTCTAAAATTCTTACGGTGTCAAGTGAAACAAAATGTCCGGGTGACTCTATGTGTTGAGACACCTCTGAACTAGCAGAGCTAGGCCGTGCATGTTCTTGAAACCTTATCGAAAGCTCTAGGTGAGAGAAATTTGTGTTGGACCAAAAGTTTTAACTTCAAACATGAAACTACCAACAAAGATGAACTTTCATGATAGTATGAGGAATATTTCTGCTATGGTTTGTTTTACTTATTGACCATATTTTAATGGCATGGCCGCGGTAGAGGGTGGTAATGCTGTTTTAAAGATAAATGAAAAAGGACAACTTTGCGGTATCACAATCTCATCTGTGAGCATTTCTGACAACAGCTCATCTAACACAGTAACCGGATACTTCAGGTGTCCAAAAAGTCGTATTAAACACGGCGGAACAATGACACGTTAAAAACATCATGTCGGCGTTTTGTTCAGATGACACCAGGTGAAAGGGACTCCAACACTGAACGTTTATTAAAAACCCTAGTCCTGCGGCGCTCAACAATTGTCGGGTTGCACATACAGTACCATCCATATAGCACCCTGTATAGGTACAGTTTGGGGGGGGGGGTATTTCTCATGCAACGCATCACACCGCAGCGAAACGCAAAGAATGCGGACATAAATATGCCACCGCAGGGCAAAAAATATTTTTGAAAAATATTGTGTAAAAATGCCAACAGGACAAGGGTTAAACTCTGCACCTTAGGTTGGCATCCGTATCCAACTACGATCTCACCTATATTTTTCAAGCAAATGTACTTTTATGCGTCTTAAAAGGACGATATAAAACTTTGGTGGATGGGTAACCTTAGGAACAGATCTGAGAGAATCCATTAGGACCCGAAATGGGCCGTTATGATTAAATACTGAATATAATATTTGCATAGCCAGAAGGGAAAAAAAGATTTCAAAGTGATTTTTGTTTTTTAGCCTGTCCCATCGGGCGGTTCGGGCGGTTCTGTGCGGAGCGCTGCCAGTGTTATAACGGAGCAGCATGTCACAGCTTCAACGGTGCGTGCAGGTGCGCCCCTGGCTGGACGGGAAGGAACTGCACCACAGGTAAATTGCATTTGAAGCCAGAACAGGAATTCAGCCCAGAAACATTCTCAAGCAATCACCCAATGGTGCTGTTTTTTTTTTGCGATTTCCCGTTTGTTTTACCTAGTTTGGTATCAGTTTTATTTATACATGTATTTGGCATATTTATATTTCAGTCCATACCATGGTATGGATGAAATATATTGTGTTCCCTCATGTTTCTCCTCCTTCTCCTTCTCCTGCCAAACAGTCAAAGGGACTCAACTCCGCCATCATTCAGCCAAATGACCTGAAATTTGGCATGGAGGTAGAGTGGGCCAATACCCCCAGACGTTTTTTTCATTTTTTTTAAACATGCCTTTGAAAAATTTTTATGAAGGTTTTTGGGGTATTTTTCGACAAAAAATGGATTTTTGGATCCTGAGCCCCGGTATTACAACCAAATGATATGACATTCGGTATAAGGGTACCTTGAACGTGTGTCTACAGAATAGCAGTCATGTATTTGGCATACACCACTTCCAAATGACTCATTTGGGGGACTTTAATGGCTATTTTCAGCAAAAAAGGGCCAAAAGTGCTGTACCCGTTCCATGTTCTATCTAAAGAATGGCCGGTTCCATCCATGGAACATGTGTTCCATTGCAGGTTACCTGAGGTCACATTGCACCTAAGTGGTGCGTAATGACCCACACATTCAATTTTATGTGCCTAAGACCTTCAAAATGTATCAAATCTCATCATTGATAGTTTTTGCATACCTGTAATAAGATTAGTAAAGCTTTCAAGATTCAAAGTACTTGTTGTTGCATCTTTGTTCTCATATAGCTACTATTTAATTCATTTACCAGAGAACCTTTGCCAGTTTTGCACTGGGGTAAGTTTGGAATAGTCCACTTTTGCGTGGGAGGGAGATGGACTGAAATATGCTGTATTTGCTCCCAAGCAAATGCCGGCCTTTCTAGTCTACCTTCTTTTAACATTTTTATTTTACATCAGAAAATCCGGAAGTGCTCATCAGTCCTCCGGCCAGAGAACTGACAGACTTGCGGTACAGACAGGAACTGCAGCTCACCTGCACGGCCTACAAACTTGACGTCACAGACATCACGTGGTCCTTTCCGAGTGGCGCTTCTGTCGACCCGCTACCTGTGAAAAGCAGCCAGAAGTAAATTTCCTTTCCTGAAGACAGATATATATATATATATATATATATATATATATATATATATATATATATATATATATATATATATATATATATATATATGGATACATAATGTGATTGATCTCATCGAGTTTGCCCCCAATCACCTAACCTTCGTCAAGTAGAATGACATTAGTAAAGTCATGTGTCCCTATGGTCCCTAGCAAATAGGGTTGATAAAAAATGTTACATTTTCTTCCTCATTATGATGATACAAAGTAAAGTGACGAAAATAACGAAGAAATAAGCTTCGTTTGAGATTTTCCACGATTTTATCGGCCACACACCTTGTTTTGTGTGAAATTCAAACTCATTTTATTCCTCCGTCCACAGCTCTTCTGTTCTACACATCAACTCCCTGCTGCCTGTGCACGAGGGTCACGTGACCTGTGAAGCTCTTACCAGCAGCGGTGACAGATTCAGTGACGTGGTGGACATACGGATAGGTGTGGATACTGATATTGGCTGTACTTGTAACAAAATAATTATGTAGAATAAGGGGGAAATGTCCAACATCCAACATGGGACACACTCACTCACTCACTCACTCACTCACTCACTCACTCACTCACTCACTCACTCACTACGGCACACGACGCCACACACACTTACTAAATCATTCACTGATTTCTATTATCGCATATATAGCAATAACTGGGTATTGTGTTGAACCATTCCAGTGTGTGAGGAAGATTACTGGGGCGAACTGTGTGACCGGGTCTGCAACTGTACAGAACCGGAAACCTGCAGCCGGACCCTGGGCTGCGTCTGTGAGGGTGAGGGGTGTCCGGGTAAGTTACTTTGTACATTTTTCATTTAAAAAATTGTCATTTTTAATTACGTTACTTAGTTTACTTGTCTCTCTAACCACGGGGTTAGCGGTAACCGACACACATAGAGATGCTGCGTACAACTCGATTCTCATAATGATTATTCTATTATCCACCTTCTCTCTGCTAACTAACCTCGTAACCAATACAAATTCTTGCCATCTGGCTATCTCAGCATGCTGAAGGTTAATTTGTTTGTGACCCCCAGCCTCCCAGACTGTCCTCCTTGCCATCAGTCTGTCGGCAGGCGCGCTGATTCTCCTACTACTCGGCGCCATCTTCCTGCTCTACCGGCACAACAACAGGCTGCGGGTCGGCAACATCGACGATCCGGAGGTCTTCCAGCTCGGACAGGACCTGAAGGTACGTCATGCTTACGTCAGAAATCACCCCATTCTCACTATGATGTGTGTAATAAAACAGTCTGATAGCTCAAATATGTCTTGTTAGAACTGAAAATCACTGGCTGAACCCCCATTTTCCCCAGGCCCTGATGCCGCCTGCAGCAGGCTCCACGTCAGGCAGTATCGACATGGAGCTGCTGAAGGAAAAGGAAATCGACAGGAACAGGCTGCAGTGCGGACAGCTCCTGGGAGAGGGCGCTTTTGGTCGTGTCGTCAAGGCAACACTGACCCCACCTGAGGAGGTTGATTTGGAGGTCATGGTGGCTGTTAAGGAACTCAAAGGTGAATTCATGTGTAGTTTTACTGTGTCTGTTTACTCTGTCTTAAACTAGTGTATTGATGTGTTCATAATTTGCGATATTATAGAGAAGCGTGTACATATGAATATATGATGTAATAATCATGATAATGTAAATGTTTATCCAGACGATGATGACCCCCAGGCCAGACAGGCCCTTCTGCGGGAAACCTGCATCATGTTGTTGTGTGGTAACCATGACAACGTCCTCGGGCTGAAAGGCATCTGTTTTAGAGACGGTCAGTTCAGAATCTTTGTGGCCGAAGGATGTGTTTGTTTTAATATGTAGGATTGCGACATCTACTTTCATCTGAATATGTTTTGGTGTTTAGCCTCGAGGACGTGTAGGAAGTAGGTGAGGTGTAAAGAGTTTTTCTCTAGTGACAGTCAAGACATGTATGCAAGATATATACAAACTAACGAGTAGGAAACAGTTTAAAAACTGTTTAGCTTAAAGCCAGTATAAAGTTGATAGTTGAGCCTGACGGAAATTGCTACAGGGCCGCTTCAACTGGTGTTGGAATATGCCGAACACGGGAGTCTCCTTCACCTGCTGTGGACGTTACGTGCGGAGTCCAAACTCAACAGGACCGTTCTGGTCAACAAACGGCACATCTTCGAGAACATGATGCTGGAGGTCTGCTGCGGACTGGAGCACCTGGCGACCAGGAGGGTGAGGAAATCTCAAGAAACTGTTCAACAATCTACTTATTCAGATTCACCGTTCAAAATATGTAACGATTATATATATATCTATAATGATCAGCTTTTAATGTACGTTTTTTTATGTTTCCCATGGTCTAGTAGATATAATTGAAACGCCAAAAATGAGCTTATAAGTATGTTGCAACTGACATATCTTCTGCCTGTGTCCAGCTGGTTCACCGAGACATCGCGGCCCGGAACATCCTGATCTGTGGGAAGGGAACCGCCAAGATCGCGGACTTCGGGCTAGCCCGGGACGTGTACGCTGTAGGGTACCATCGGCAGGACAGGGTAGGTCCCGGGACATGTACGCTGTGGGATACCATCGGCAGGACAGGGTAGGTCCCGGGACATGTACGCTGTGGGGTACCATCGGCAGGACAGGGTAGGTCCCGGGACATGTACGCTGTGGAGTACCATCAGCAAGACAGGGTAGGTCCCGGGACATGTACGCTGTGGGGAACTATTAGCAAGACAGGGTAGGTCCCGGGACATGTACGCTGTGGGGTAACATCAGCAGGACAGGGTAGGTCCCGCCTGGACATGTACGCTGTGGGGTACCATCGGCAGGACAGGGTAGGTCCCGGGACATGTACGCTGTGGGATACCATCGGCAGGACATGGTAGGTCCCGGGACATGTACGCTGTGGGGTACCATCGGCAGGACAGGGTATGTCACAGGACATGTACGCTATGGGGTAACATCGGCAGGACAGGGTAGGTCCCGGGGCATGTACGCTGTGGGGTACCATCAACAAGACAGGGTAGGTCCCAGGACATGTACGCTGTGGGGTAACATCAGCGGGTAACATCAGCGGTTGGAATGATGGCACCATCTTAAGCTAAGGTCTCAATTACGCCGGTGCCCGTCGGGGATGTAGACCCGGCTGGCCCCGGCCGGGTTCAGGAGTCGAGCGGGCATCGGCTGTCGTGGTCACAATTAAAAGTTTCCTTCAGTAGAATTTTGTTAGAAATTTTGTCACCCTCTTTGGTCGGTATACGGCAGGCACCCGGCAGGTACCCAGCAGATTCTATGACGATGTCTTGTATTGACCTATACGTAATGCAGAATTCACGTATTTGTTGTGATCATTTGATCTGTGAGGTCACACATTTTTACCCGGGTTTACGAAGTACACACCTTTATTCTGTCCATCTGGTCTGTGACGTAAGAAATGTGTCCCGGTGGAATGCCGGCAACCGGAGGGGTACCTCTCGGTGTTATCACGATGAGGTCACGGCGTCTTTTTGTCAGCGGGGCCCGGGTAGAATTTAACTCAGAATTAAATTCTTATCGGGGCCCCGCCGGGCCCAAAAATAGCCCGGTAGCCGCAGGGTGCCCCGCGGGGCCACGTCGGAATCCCGCCCGAAAGTGGTAAAAAAACAGCCCGGGAACTACCCGCCAGGGCCCCTTTTCCCAATTGGGACCTTAGCTTTACAGAGGAAGCTGGCTTAGTATTTAAAGTAAGAAAGTTGAAAATGGGAAAGGCGGATACAATCCATCTACAGATCTTGTTGTCTTGGCACGGACAGCTTTGGATCTAAATTGAAGCAGCTGTCGTTTTTTCCTCTTCAGGGCGATGCCCTGCTACCATTGAAGTGGATGGCACCAGAGAGCCTGAAGAACGAGGCTAGGTTCACACACAAGAGTGACGTGTGAGTTTTTAACATTGACTATCAGCTGCAACAAACATAATGGATCTTATACAAACATCTGTTTATCTTTTTTTAAATCTTTTCAATACTACCAACTGTTTCCAGTATTTGACACCAAACCTATTTGTTTCCAGCTGGTCCTTCGGGGTTCTGTTGTGGGAGGTGGCGCAGCTGGGCCGCACGCCGTACCCTGGGATAGATGGGGCAGACAGAATATATGATGCTCTTCAAAACCACTTCAGACTCCCCAGGCCTCAGCTGTGTACAGAAGAAAGGTAAACCCGAGAAGTTATAGAAGGGGTTACTATTAGTGAGGTTGTAAGCTAAACTACTGTGTCCCTATTACAAAATGGCAGACGGTATAAACTTCTGAATGGTCAAGGGTGGGTCATGCCCAAAACAGAATAACGGTCGAAAAAAATCACTTCAGACAGGACATAAGGCTGGATAAATAATTTGTTCCCTCCTTTGCGCTGTTCACGCCCAGATACCAGCTGATGCTGAAGTGTTGGAAGTTTAACGAGGAGACCAGACCAGACGCCACAACTGTCAGGAAACTACTAAAGGCGGATCCCAATGTGAGATATTTTTTACAAACATATGAATTAAGGATGATTCTCAATAGATCTCGATGTCAATCATGATTTGCTTAAATGTTGCTACGTTATCGGTCATTGTAACTGTTTTTTTTTCATTTTCTTCTAACAGGGCTTCTTCTACTTTAACGCACCCGTTACAACAGTGGAGGTCAATCCGATATGAGACAGTATTGGACTTCAAGGCAAAGTATTTAGTCTGGAGGAGCACAAATGGCAATGTGTACACTGTATATAAAGGGAAGATCTGCTAGTGCCATGACAAGGGTCCATATAACCGTCATTTTATTTTTATCCAACTAAGTATCAATAACTTTTGCGCAAAATGTGAATGCTTCAAAAGTTCTGAGTTCGTTTCAACTTTCTTATCATAAAATATTGATATGCATTTATTCGTTGTTAGTGTAAGACCTGATTAAGTATCCTCCAAGTAAAAATTATTTTAGCTACAAACAGTTCGATTTTGTGTTTTGTTTATTTGTCTGTAGTAATTGACTGGATGTTAGCTTTTTGAGGGGTCGACCTTATTTGCAAGGATATGGATAAATCATGAAAGTTATAGAAAATTCATGTAAGTTCATGTTCATTCCTAAAAACATCAATTAATTGGAAGGAAATGCTCTTGAAATTTTGGAATAAGATAGTTCATCACGGAATATCCTTCGACACGTCTATCCCTACTGACATCCTCTTACAGCCATTCCTGGAGAAGGGTAGGAAAGGGTAAAATTGCAGCTAATTCATTAACAATAGATCATCATTTCATTAACAATCGCCTTGTTTCCTTGGCAACTGCACGCCAATCTGTAGCGAGTTTCGCTTGTGCGCATTTCAGAAAACTATAATAACCCTCAAACTGCCGCAGTTTTTTTTGCGGCGAATCTTACCGTATGGGGTCAAAACTGGAGTCAGGCGACAAATGCGGATTCACGCATGTGAGAAATGTTTTAGATGTGAGAAATGTAACATAAGCTTTAGTCTGCTGAGTAATCTAAAGACTCACATGCGGACTCACGCTGCTAAGAAAATATTATTTGTAGAATGTTTTCAACAATTGTGCATTGCTCCCCTACAGCTGCATGAAAAATTCCATGATTTAACCCGTAGAGAGACGTTATTACCTGATTTATTATTGTCCAAAACCCGACTCCCCCATTAAGACTCCTTAAAAATGACTGACCTATAGATATGTAAAGAATTGCTGTGGTGACACCCCGATATAGTCTTTTCTATTTCAATGTTGCATCCTCAACTTTTGTTTTGTAAAAACAGTAGACCCATGCTATTTAACAAAAGAAAACCCATGTTCATATCATTATCAGAATTACCATGGTATCCATTGTAATTTTGGTAATTTTCAGACATATATAAATTGTTTGATTTTTGAAGGTCTCCTTGATAGCTTGATACCTATCACACAAAGTATGAGCCGTTTGGGTCGATCCCCATCTTCCAACTGGCCTGATTTTTTCATGCAATGACTATTAATTTTGAACAAGTCGTTTGAAAATGCAACTAAAACATATAAATGAATTGTAAACAAAAAAAAAGACAAAGCATAGTTTTAAAACCCCTAATAAAGGTACTGGTCACCACAGACGATCTGTTTTCTGTCCACGTCATCTTACTCGTATTTCACGTAACATAGAATGGAATAGTTTTTTTTTGGCAATGAATGATTATGTCGCTACGCTCACTCGTTGGTTATCACACCTGACCAGGGAATATCTCACCATATACACCTCGGGGTGGGGCATTAACCCTTCAGTAAACGCTGTGATGACGTCACGGATGCTGGCCAGTGTTCCATTTGTTTTAATACCCATTTCAAAGTTTGCATATTTGATATATGGCCTGATTTAAACATTTCACCCCGTTTAGAATGAGATGAAGTCAGGAACATTCACATCGTGTTTTAATGGTCTGATCTACTTTACATTATTAATAATTGTACATTGTGCAGTTGTAGAGATAGATCGTTTACAAAATAACATATTAAATCCAAATGCCCACTATGAACCGTTAAATCACCATTAGGCCACAGCAAGTTATTTTCATGAATAACATTAGCGCGCGCATTGATTTTCGCCTGATTTGCGGAATTGTTTTTGCCCTCGGACGGTGATTAACATGCCGAAAATTGGCGAACATGTTTTAAACGACTATCAGTTCTGTTTCGAAATGCCCTATATGCCTATTCAATGTTTTATCATCAATAACAAATGGATGCTGTAAAAGTCGCCACAATATAGATAAGATATCATTAGATACCTGTAAACGCATGTTGTTGGATACATCAGTATGGACAGATTCAGTTGATACCTTTGATGAGGCAGAAAATGTAAAGCCCTGTGTTCTGGTAGGTAATTTCTAACCTCAGAGACCATCAGAGACCCAGCAAACTTGATGCACAATGTGCTTGCGTTTGATGACAAGTATTGCCAGGTGTTCCATCGCAAATAACTGCCAAGTGTAGTAGCTGCCCATGATGGTACGACAAGCTCTTTTCTACAATTGCTCTAGTTAACTGAGGTTTATATCTAGAAGGATAGGTGATACTGATGAATACCGGAATAAAAGACTTGTTAATTATAATATCTTGTTTAGTCGCCTCAATTCTTGCTTAACAATGTTTATGATCTCAACTTATGATAGTGTAGGAATCTTTTTTTTGGGGGGTCTGCATTGTTTCTTTAAACCCTATCGCATTAGATTTCGAATTGTCTGTAGAATTTACCGACTGTGGCCTTAAGACCATTGACACCTTTCTATATAAGCAGCCATAGAAGGACGGTTTTGACAATATACAACAAACCAACCATGTATACATTTCAGGCCTCTCATACACATAGAGAAATATTACTAACCATGGGTTATTTGTATACGCTTCATGCATGACTTGTGGGACTTTGCTATGGACAAGTACACCTACATGTAAGTAGCCATGTGTGCATTTCTAGACTAAGGTCTCTTATATGATTTATGAGACCATGCAGAGTATCAGAGTACTAGTAATTACATAAGGAATCATATTTCATTTTTATGACTAATGAGACAAATACAAGTAATTGATCATGAATGAATCTCTAGAATCTGTTCCCTCAAATGGCCAACGCCACTACACTTAAGTCCGGGTAGCCATGCGTGCATTTCTAGCATTCACATTCACCATCCTCGTCTGGAGGATCGGGGACTATGGTAGCGTCCAGCACAAACCCTCTCCACCCTTCCCTTTCCTTGGTCATCTGCGTGCAGTCATTTATAGCATTAGGTCTGCTATATAACGTATGAAACCATACATATTATAAAATAAGTAAGTAACCAAGGAGCATTTCCATACTACATGTACAAACTCGAAACAATAATCAGATAGAACGTACATTGTGAAAATACCAGTATGTAGATATAAATCCAGTTTTAGACCAAGTTTTAGTTATTTTAAGACTAATCAAGTGTGATTTTACAGAGTACACTTATAAGTTAGTAACCATGAGTGCATTTCAACACATATTTCTCCAATGACATAGAATTCGTTAAGTACAAGTAAGAAACCATAGGTGCATTTCTAGATCCCCGCATGTCGCATAACTGACAAAACATTACTTAGTACAGTACCATTGCTTAATTTCCAGACTCTGAACACTCACATGATCGTGGACTTCTTATATTACTACGTAGTCGGTAGGTTGTTAACCATTTAAAATTGCAATATGTAGCATTAGACGCCATACTTTGTACTCTGTTTATATGTTGTGCACTTCCGGTATAAATATTTGTTAAGTCTTTTTCTATAGACACATCACTTTTAGAAAGTCCAAGTGAATGATTATGAGTGTATCTGTATAACCAGATCTCTATCTCATTGGACAAAGGATACCGTAAGTTAAAGTGTAAAGTCGAAAATTATGGTCCATTTTTTTACATAACAATTTAAGCCTGTTTCAGAACCAGTTGATTTTCAGAGAAATTATACAAAAATTCTGGCCCTAAGTCTCCACATGTATGGTATCTAAAGATCTCCCTGGCACTTTACGTTTGGGGTCGCACTCCAAGCAATTTAAGTTTTCTCTTGCAAATGAAGACGTATTTACAGGCACACGCTTGGTCCTACCACTGTCCTCTTCTAGCCTGTTGGAATATAGATTTATGTATCAGTATTGAAAGAAACAATTTGCACGGTGGCATGAGCAGTATTGCATACATCTTTTATGTCATTTCCATCTACCATAACTGCTTATATAGGTCAATTACTGTACACTTTATTTCATAAGCGAGACCATATCATCAATACATGAACATATTGTAATTCATATAGTGTATAGATAGTAATTTGTATTAAGAAATGTAATAAGATAGTCTAGTTTTGTAGTATTGTTGTATTACTGCCACACATTGTACCATGTACGATTGTCGAGCAATAAAGTTCATTCATTCATTTATTGCACATTTACGAACATCGCACATTTATCCACGACTTCGTACCTTATCAAATATTAAAATTTCTACTGACGAAATTATACATTCTTCTCATTGATTTCCAAAATAAGATCATCATTTCATTTCCATCAAGGATTATATTAGCTGATCATATTCTCCACCTAATGCAATGACAGCCTTATCCTAACAGAGAAGGCTATTCTAGCACTTCCTCATAAATTATTCAAATGGGATTATGATTTGAATCAATTATGTTTATTGATGTTTGCCTTCACTTAACTTCCAAACGCGGCAGGTATGAACTGCCTGGCATTTGCCATTACGAAATTATAGAAATTTACCTTTTTAGTTATGCAAATTAGGTCTTTGTTTAAATAATCTACATCTTAAGATGTTCGTCTCAATCTTAATTACAAATGTAAAATTGGCAAGCGAAAGTCGGTTCGCAGTACGTCAGATCCGGTTGTACAGCAGGCGGGGAGATCGGAGCCCAAACCACCGTAACCACACATCCCGCGTACCAAAAAGTCGACCTGTCCCCATCCCGCACAAAATGGATTGTTCCTAAATCACCCATGACCAAAATGTGAAGTGTTCCAATAGTCCATAAAGCAATGGAATCTTCCAGTGCCTTCTGCTGTTGGAGCATGTTGAAGGCGGTGTTCTATTAGAACTGTTAGATGGGGATTTGGTTTATGAATCTAAAATTACTATTTTTACTTAAATTAAGGTAACTAAATGTATTTTAAAGGGCTAAATCTGAAAAGTAAACACTATGTAGTATTTGATGCCAAGATACCCTTATGCTGAAATTCAGGTCATTTGGTTTTCGTTTGAGAGCACATGAGCCAAAAATGTACATTTTCGGCAAAAAATATCCAAAAAGTCCAATTTTACATAT